AGCTGCTAGGGATAATAACTCTGTGCCAACAGGAGGATTGCAAACCCCAGATGTTTCATGTGAGGCAACACACTTGAAGCTCATCATCAATTTACTTCTCACACATACTGGTTCAGCTTCCAAATCAATTCTTATTCTTGTAACTTTTCATACATAGCTACACATTCCATATGGAAAGCTCAGTTTCTAAAACCTTTTAATGTGTAATGGTGTTTTCTCATGCAATTAATGAAAATGTTTCTTGATATGTATCAGTGATTATATTTAACAAGCAATCCTTCAACAAGTAAACAATCCTTCAGCAAAGCATCAGCCAGGTTTCAGACACAGCAACAAGCACTGGAGTAGAAAGAAAACCCTCCCAGTTTCTCTCTTTCCTCTGGCATTTTGGTTTTGAAACCCTACAGCCCGGTGAGATTTCAAACAAGCTGTTATTTAAAGCCACTAAAGCTAAATGCAGTGTGAGGAAAATGGAAGCCCGAGCACACTGGACACCTCTAGGAAGCCTGCTGTGGCTTTTTAGATTCTATCTGGTTCCTCAGCAGCCTGGTATGCTCCAGGCAAAGCGTGGCCTAAGGTGTCCTCCCAGGTAGCAGAATTTTGTTTAACCTTAGGAATACTTGACTCAGATCAACCACAGTGCCTTTATTCCCCTCTCTTCCCTGGCCATCCTCCCACTTACTCAAGCTACAGCAGCATCAGAATAAGGCTCTAAGTGATGAATGGTCTTTAAACCATCTAAATCTGATTGGATCCATGTGGTCACTTGTGCTCTAAGCCAAAGCATTTGGACGCATGCTCTATTGCACCTGTCCCATAACTTAAATTATGTTCTTCCCCTCTGAAAGGAAAACCAGGGAAAGTGAGGAAACATCATAGCACCAACGTGGGTGCAGGAAATAGTCTACACAGCCTTTTCAGCACTTACAAGACAACTGACCCATGATAAAGTAATACATAGAATTAACAGAATCAACCTATTTTTCACAGGAACAAAACCAAAAATTTGTTGCCAGTTATGACTTACAGGTATGGTAAGTCATAAGTCATGGTAAGATATGTTGTGATAAGTCGTAGCATCCTTTTAACGTGAGAATGGAGTTATCCAGCACATTCTCTTACCCGAAGATTTTCTTCCATGCCTTATATATTTGCTGACATTTCAAGATGATGCCAAAAATTTTGCCTTTAAGATTCACAGGGTGATAGAGGGCAAAATTGTCTTCACAGGATGAGTTTAGCAGGAGGAAACTTCAAAGAAGAATTGACTGGTGTGGCAAATACATAAAAACCACAAGAATAAAGCAATTCTCTCAGTTGTGGGAAAGTTAGGATTTGGATCAGAACATTTCAGATTTAACTAAATACCAACAAACCAAATTAGCACAGGCAAACAACAGCTAAGGCTTGCTTCTAGTGCAAATTAAAGGCTCTTCTTTAGTTTTCGGTTTGTTTTTTTTCCCTGAAATATGACTTACAGATGCTCCATTTGCAGGCCATATCTCAATTCCATTACTCTGATGCTCTGGCTTTACTGCATATTTTTAAACATGAAGGTGACAGCCCAATGGCATTCCTGTAAAATGTTTATTTAAATTATTGTTTTGCATCCATTTCTTTAATTATTTTTGTTGCCTATTTTTTTATTTAAAATAGACATTCAAATGAACAGTCCTGAAAGATCACTTTGTTCAGAAGGACACTATCAACACTGCAGTAATATCTGCAATATAATTACATTGTCAATGTATTTTAAATTTTGCAGGTAATTGCAGTTTATCTTCACAGAAAAATAGTCTAGATAAAAATAATTGTCAGATATAATCAGAGAATCTACTTAAGTATCTTGCTCAAATGTGGTAAATGTTTGTTTAGGGCTTGGTTTAATGCTTGTGAAAGACTAAGGAAGCGAAGCAAGTAAGATCCTTGCACTGGATAAGCATTCCAGCTTTTATCCTCCAGCTCACCGACACTGGTTGTTTCTATTTCTGGGACTTTCCTGCATAAACTGCTACTTATATTGGATGTGTAGCACTTTAGTGACATGCACAAATTACATATCCTTCTCCTTTTCCCATTGTACAGAATCCCAGCTTTGTGATGCAGGACAAGGCTTTTGTCTGGTTTGGGATCAATCACTGAGACTCTTTTGCTATAAAGTGATTGGAATTATTCATTAATCTTCCAGACCAGTAGTTTTGTCTTTCATGAAGCAAAATTGATTTCCTTATCTGAGCTTGTGAAGAAGTGGGTCGTGCACTTTTCTTGATTTATAGCTCAGGATGGACAGTAAGCTGCTGCCTTGAAAGCAGCAGCTTTTGGGACTCCAGAACTGACAGGTCTCAGTGCAACATTCTGATATTTACTCATGGGTGGGCTGCATATTGCACTAGATAGCACTATGAAAAGAGGATATTTAAATGTGGAGAGAATAAATCCTTGGGGAGCACTAGCTTTTCTACAGATTTGCTTTATTCATTCTCTTCTGGAGAGCTTCACGACACTTTATAGTGCACAACAAATCTCTTTGGTTGCAAGAGGGGCAGATTTATTCCACCATGTTTGAATCACCCGGGAGAAATAGAAGCAACTTTGAGTTGAATTACTGAGTAATTGACAGCTTCTTTTTCAAGGACCAGCAGACCCAGGAATAGATAGCATTTCCATCAGAATCTTGCCTATTTTCTGCCCAGATGGTAGCAAGAAGCATTGGAAATCTGATTAATATCCTGTGGTGGATTTTACCAGCACCCTGGTTACTGGCCTTTCAAGCACTCCAGACCTTTTGACAACCTTCTGTGCATAATATTAATACAGTTATACCTCATATCCCTTTGAGGCATTACAAAAAGGGATCAAATCATAGATCTCCTCTGATTGAACTGAAGATCTGTGGCATTTTCCTATTTGGAAGCTAACATTTCAGGAGCTATATTGTTTCCCATTCCTTTCCAATGTAGTCTGGGAATGACTGTGCAGTCCTTACACAGTCACAAACACAGATTCTTGAATCAAAGCCTGAAAAAGAGGTTCTGTATTACTTTGGATTTAGACTTTAACTTTTTATCCACAATCTACTTTGCAGTAAAAATGCAAATCATTTAAGCCTAGAGTATAATTAGAGTTCCAGACCTAGATACCAGTTCCCTATGGCTGCTGACTGATTTCTTATTTCGTCCATTTTTCTTTCCACTGAGAAGATACCAAAAGTACTCCATTAATGTGGTATGGACAGAAACAGAGATAAATCAGCTTTGTATACCACAGTTATTCCCTGGTCTCCAAAATAATTGCTTTGAAAGCCATTTTTCTAACTGTTTGCCCCTACATTCAGAACTGTCTGCATTAAAAAAAAGGCTTTGCATCTTGATATTACTATAGCAGGGTATAATCTCTGCTATAGTAATATCTATATTACAGTAAAGTTTACCAGTCACTGTCTGTGCAAAGATCCTTTTTGCAGGTTTTCTCTACATGGTTAGTTAGAAGAAGTCATAGGGAGTGTAATTGCATGAGTCTTGTACCAATAAACAGAGCAAGGAATATGTGACACTAATGACAAAGTATCAAACCCCCAAAAGAGCAAAAACTTAACACAGACCTTTGATGGTTCTAAATTCTAGTCCTCATTTAAATTACATTGTCCTTTATCCCTTATAAACACTAGTGATTACAGTGAGATAAACGTTTCACAGAGGTATTACCCAGCAGATGGTGTCACAGGCTATGAGTGTTTCCAGCAGCTGGAATAAATATCTGAAATGTAAGTCAGACACTGGAAAACTAAAAGCTTCAAAAGTGGGTTCTAACACAGCTTGGAATCGCAGCACTGGGATCTCTGACCCACAGACATTGCAATTTGGGATCCCCTGACAAGTGGTTCTATAATTTCTGGTAGCATCAGCAGGACTTAGCTAAGCATGCAGGGAAGGAGTCTGAAATAAATACTCTTCGTGCTCAATGCAGCCAGGATATGAAGGTCACCTCAGGGAAAAAGAAATCAATGTATGCCAAGGACAAAGGGCCAACACACAATATAACATACTATTATCCCAACCCACAGTGCTGTACACAGCTTACTGTCAACAAATGCTCAGAGAAACAAGAAAGAGAGATGGAGTGAAATCCCTCTTATCACAGTTGTTTGGAAAAAAAAAAAAAAAAAAAAAAACCAACAACAACCTGGAAAAAACTGCATTCCACCAGGGAGAAATCTCAATCTCCTATGAAATGGCTGACAACGGATCTGTCTTAGACCAGGGCACAGGAGGAGAACTACAAAAACTTTTTACAGTCCATATTTACCTATATCTTTGATAATTGTTATTTATCTCAATCTTATTATCACAAAATCTACTACGTGTAGTTTTTAAGGTTATAAGCTGGTGGTGTGCTAGGTGGAGCTTGAAGGATTTGCTAAAACCCCAGAAAATGAAGAAGACCTGAACAACATGAGGTTATAATCTGGATTACATTTTATCTTCACTTACCACATTCTTAACTGACTTTTAAATTATGGTAGGACTGGCTGCAGACTTGGCCCCTGCAGGGCACACAAGGTACACAGCACATAAGGCATGAACTCATTCAGCTCTGCAGATAGAGAAAGGCTGGAGGAATTGTGCCATTTCAAAGGCATTGCCCAAATTCCTCTGGGGGAGAACCGCATGGCTAATGAACCACACTAAGATTTCAGAGTGTTAACTGCTTAATCTCAAAAAATCATGACTTGGTCATCAGTTCTGCAGGATGAATGAGAAAGGTGCTTTTGGCAGTACTTCTGAACAAAAGAACAGATCCGTTGAGAAAATATGACTTTGGTACTTCCCATTTGCTTTGTAAGTCTAATGAAATCAAGATAAAATGAGGTATTAAATATCATTTCTATGGGGCTAAAGTGGAAGGTCTGTATTGTCCAAATGCTAGCCTTGAAAGTGAAGGGAAATCCAACTAAGAGCACAAGGTAAATTTCTGCACAGAAAAAAAATCAATGAGCTATGGCAGTTGTCTGAAAACTTTATTAGTTCAATGAATCACATTTATATAGACACTAATAATTATAATGTAAATAAGGCAGTCAGAGTAATGTAAAATAGCCCATCATATAATACTCAGTATGTCAATGTTATTACCACAGTGTTACAATGACTGAAGTTTAATAGAGGAATGTAAGACACACACATAAAGTAATTGAGATAAAAGAGCACAGTAAATTGGTAAAGTACTGCAGAGAGTGATGAGCCACACTTATTAATTTCAGCAATTACAAACCTACAGAGCAAGTTCTACTTCTCTTATCCCAATGAATGATTGTGTTAAAGCCAATAGTCCACACTCCAAATGGAATTCCCCTACTTCATAAAACTGGAAGGTTTGTTAAACATCTCACCTGGATTTTCTGCAATGCTGTGATGCTTTTACTTGAGTGTTTCTTCTGCAGCATTATTTGCAGAGCAGGAAATTCCTTGAAGTGCTGTAGGTTGTCTCTGCACTTTGAAGTGTCTGTCATGAGTGTGGCAGACATGCCATCAGCCTGCCTCAAAGCTAAGGACCTCCACAGTTTTTTACAGTAAATAAAACAGTTCTTTTTTGTGTTCCCTTTACTCTAAAAATACCTCTCCTTTACCAACCCTGAAGTTAGCTCATGTGCTCCTGCCCTTTTGAGTAGTTTCTTCAAAGGAAGGTAAAAAATTGACTGGCTGTCAAAACAGCATTAAAATAGAATAAAAGAAAAGGGAAAAAAAATCCAGTAAGATACAGTAGTGTTCAAACTTCTACATGGCAAGGAGAAAAGATAGAGCAGAGGTTTTGCATAATTGTCATTATAAGGAACAAGTCAAATCCTGAGAAATACTAAAATTCTAGCAAGAAATTCAGCCTGGTGGCACCTTGGCATGACTTACATCAGATGTTTCCTGGAGAATTTCTATTGGAGAGGGACAGGGAGAGGCTCTGTGTCTAAGGATTACCTGACCCAGTTGGCTTTGGAAGTCAGCTGGATGAGATTTAATGATTAATCAGAAAATGCACAAAATGAAGTGTTGATATGGTAGGATATAGAGCAAAAACCTTGCTGAGCTCCTCCTTACTGAGCTCACATATCTTGGGAGCTCTCCCACTTGTACAGGTGTCTATGACTTGTCTAACAGCCCCACAAAAACTCTCTGACCTTATTACACTACTGGTTTGTGATTAGTTACCTGGTCTTAAAATAGTATGAAAAATTAGGGTGATCTAATTTTCCACACAGCCACAACATACAGCAATTAGTTCTTGTGTTCCCAAAACAATATTTCCTCCTGCTAGTTGCACTGGTGTTCTTTCTGTGGCTTCTTTTTCACACCATCTTCCTTAACCCCAGAGCACTGCAGAGGATTCACAGCCTGACTGCTCCATGGAGCAGCAAAAATCTGAAAAGAAAGCATAAGATTTAGTGTCTCAGCTGGGGCTCAAGGGAAAAACTAAATACGCAGGTATCCTGAGATGCTTCAATGCTTTTAATGAATGAAATTGTGCTGTGAATGAAATGCTTTCAAAGAGAGAAGGAAACCATTTTTTAAACGTTTGCAAGTTCAATTTAGTAATTAATACTTTGCATAAATATTACTAAAGGAACAGTTAAAGCTGGGTGAGGCCAGAAATACCCATTCTGAATTTGAATTTTCACAAGCAATTGGAAGAACAATTAAAAAGGATTATGTGCAAGTGATAACAGTTTGAGAATTAATTGAAGTAGAACCTCAAAATCTTTTGATTTGAAGAACTTCTTCAGTATTGCATTTAATGACTTTTGCAGCATTCTTAGGATTTAGAGTTTGAAACCTTTAGACTCTGGGAAAGATCAAAGTCTTGTGCCTGCTAAAGAGTATCACCTATGAGTCTGAATAGAAGGAAAAAAATATGTAAAGCTGGGAGAGGGAATTATTGCTGGGACATATGTATGTGTTTTCCTGCCACTGTAGGAATGCACAGATTATCAGTCTGGGTCACTTTGTTTCTGGAAGAAATTCAAGAACTCACCTAGACGCCTTGTTTTTCCAGCTGCTTTTCTTCAAAGGTATCCAAGTGAGTTCTGCCAGCATAAATCTTTCCATGAAAGAGCAGCATCTGCATCCTGGCCCATAATACTCACAGGCTTTTACAGGCTGCTTCGTGGGAGATGAGGAGTCCTGTCTGATGAGGTGAAGCAGAGGCGTCAGTTGTTGTACGGCTCCTCTAAAAATTGTAGCCAGGATGAGATATTTCAGGAGCACCAGAAGAACTTCTTGCTCTTATGAGAGGTATCTTTATGTTTCTCTGTGTCAGCTTAACCAGAATGTGATAGCACAAGCTGCTACTGAGAAAGCCAGATGTGTCCTATGAAAAACTATTAAGCACTTCTTCAAATGCGTGCTTATATCTCTTTCGATACAGACCAGTTCCTAGGATTTAATAGAGTAAAATAAAAAGCTGAAATATACTTCATATTAAAGCAGAGTCAAAATTAAAAAAGCCATTAAAGTTTCTTAAATTAGCTATTTCAAGCTTGAGAGCATTTTCCAAATTGTATTTCAGATCCTGAAAATCCAAAATTTTTTCACACTGGTTCATATCTAAAAGGGATGTAGAAACCTTGAAATGTTTCATATGATGGAAATCGTTTTCCCCCACTAGGTATACTTTTATCTTTTATTCCTCTGCCTGCCCTACCCCACCCCAAGAAACACCAAAAAAAAAAAAAATAAAAGGAATCCAAGATTTGGTCATTGAGGTATTCATATAAAAATTAAAAGGAACCTCACCTTTTTATAATGTAATTATGTATTAATTCCCTTTAAAGTCTGACCCAGTATCTGCTGACTTCAAAGAACAGACCTTTTTTGGATGAGACTAGTCACTGCAGAGTTTGGATGATATTAGTCACTGAAATGCAGATTCTGTGTTACCAGAGTCTCTGCCTGTATTATTAATCTTAGGTGAAGACACAATTATTAGCTTGAGCCCACAACAAGCTTTACAAATTACCACAGTATTTTGAATTTACAGTGGTATATTATCACTTAAGTGTTCAAATCTCTTCAATATTCTCTCTCTGTTATTATGAATGATATATAAAAATACTTTTAGTTCATAATCAAGCTGAAAAGTTTATACATAAAAGAGCATTTATGTTTTGAGGATCCTTACGAATTGGAAAAAAAAAATCTGTTTACCGATAAAATCAATGGCTCAAACCTTCAGATTCAAAAGAAAATGTTATAAATGCAGAAACTTACACCATTTGCACAGCTCATACAAGAAATTTCCTGTAATCTACTGCCAGTTTTATCAGTTTTATGTTAAATGATCCTTTCCTGCATTTGCTTCATTGAGTCCTAATAACATTTGTCTTTAATTCTGAATTGAAATTATGTTAGCATGACAAGCACTAGAAGAGAAATCTGCTGGGAATTATTTATGTGGAACTTGGCAGAGCAGCTTTTAACAATAGCTAATCCTGGAACCTTACCCATGACCTTCATTAACCAGAGAAACATCCCCTGTTACCAAAAAAGATGAACTTGAAGCGCTGGATTTAACATGAAAGCATGAAAAAGAAAACACCAAAACCAAAGAAAAGCAGGGGAGAAAAGGAGAGAGAAAATCTATAGGGGTGAAAACAAAAATTTCCAAACCCAAATAATTCTTGAAGGCCAAATTCAGGACAAAACCCCCAGATGTGACATGACAGTCTGTTCCCCAGAGGTCACATCAGGGCCAGTGCCAGTGCTTCTGCCCAGCTGGGTGCCAGCTCAGGAAGCACTCGGTGCACCAGGGACTCTGTCCTGACAGGTGGCTCTGGCAGAGCACAGTCCGAGCTCCCTGACGGTGCAGTCCTGCTGGCCTGCACTTCCCTGAGGATGTTGGACAGGATGTGCACCGCTGCAGTTCCCAAGCAGGCCCTCCCCCTCTCCTTTTGGAGGAGGCTCAGAACAGATGAGGTTGGGGCTGTGTTTTCCTTGCATGTGACAGATTTGCACAGTATTATAAGCTTGCTGTGCTTGGTTGTTTTCCTTCTATCAAAAGAAAGATGTTGCAGAACTGTTTAGAGTACAAATGAATCCACACCCCATATGTTGCTATTTATATTTATATCCACTTAGGACACCCAGCAGACCTGGTTATGGAGCAGGTCCTAGCTGTTTCCAGCTCCTCGTCTGCTCATAAACATTTAAGTGCCAACAACTGGATATCGCCACGTCTGCACTTAAATTGCTCATTGTAATTTCACATCAGCTTCTATTCCATATCAATTTTCTAGGCAACATGTTATAGTATCTGCTCATGTACTTTGTGCAGACTGTGTAGGAAGAAGCTTAATCTAAAACATCTGCGGCAAGATGAGATGATCACATAAACATAATTTCTTGCAGAGGTTCTGTCTATAAACTACAATGAAGTATGTTTCCACAGCATCAGCACAATCCTACCTTTGCATTTACCTTTTATCATCAAAATGGAGAACAAAGGAAAATAAAATACAGGAGGAAAAGTCAAATTCCCAGACACGTAAACACTATGTTCCTACAGAAACTGACAAAGCTCTGAAAATTATGTCACTAATCTGAAACCTGTTCAATAAACTACATTAATTATCACTGCTGAGTATCTGTTTATGTGCCTAAATTCCCAGTAAGCCATATGGAAAATTACTTTCTAATGTGGAATCGCCAAAGCTTTTTGATAGCGAAGGCTTCACACACACTAAACTGTTGCAGAGTAAGTCAATAATCAGTGAGCTGCAATTTTCAGAGCCTAATGGATTCAATAGCCACCCCAGGGATATCTCAGCTTCAGCAGCAGCATTGTGCTCCATCACATTACCCTGCAATAGAAACAACTTACAACACAGTCTCCTAAAAGAGGGTATAAATTATCCTTGTACTTGAGATTTACCCTTGAAGGTCGGTATCCATACCCAAGCAATTTCTCTTCAATCCTGCCCTTCAGGCTCTTTACCAAAAGATAGGAAAGGTGCTCCATATCAGGCATGTTTCTGCTCTGAAGGTACCTACGTGCAGTTTCATCTGCACGTAAAATACAGTACGGAAGCAGCTTGCCATCAACACACAAATAGCTTTTGTCAGCAAACATGTTAATTACCAAAATTTGTTTTCCAATACTTTCCATGTTAGTTCCTTTAAAAAACTAAGCACATTAGCTGTTTTCTCATTACATCATTTTGACTATGAGAATGAATGCAAGTTCCAACAGTTTCAGGCACTAGAGAAGGGCATATAATAAAGATTCACCTAATAGCTGAAAAATTTCACAAACAAAATAATCTCTTTTACACAAGAAAGTGCTCTGAATGGAATATCTGCTAAACACTTAATGCATCTCCCTGGAAGTCAGTGAAGCATTTAGAGCCCCTCTTACCTTGTAAGATTTTATAAATAAAAATCTAGTAAGTTCTTGGGATTTGTAGCCTCCTATTTGATCCTTTCAGTCCTTTGTGTTTGTCACTGTCCTCAATGGAACATAAGCACAAGAGTCATATACTTGTATTTCTAAATGCAGATCAGTATTTTTCCCTTTATTATGATCCACCAAATTGGATTAGGATTCAATAAATAAACTACTCTTAACTCCAAAGGAACTATAATATTGTAAGTCAGAATATCAGAGACTGGTGTAAATGCAAACATGTCAAAAGTTGAACGTCTGGTGACAAACAATCCATTGGCTTCTATAATTTTAACCAATATAAATTAGTTTTCGGGGGGCAATATCATAATTCCAAGAAGACTATAGGAAGTAAACTACTCTGGCTTCTGCAGCTGAAGTAGCAAAAGGAGTAAGATCAACAGGAAGCAAACTTGAGGGAAGAAGGTTCCTTTTCAAACCTCAAAACTTGGTTCTATGTCCAAAATTAAACTGAGGACACAATACTGTCACCCACTTGTGAATTCCCTTCTTCCAACTTTAAGAAGCCTGGGGGTTAAATAATGATAAAAATCCATGGATGATGGGAACGCCAGTGATCCAGGAGGAGGAACACCACCCTGTGCTGCTGGGTTCAGTCTCAGCTCACTGTGTGATCACCACGCCTGTGCTCGGTGCCCAGGCAGAGCCTCCCTGGCAAGGAGAGGTTCCTGCACACACAGGCACCAGCACGTCGGATTGCCACGGGCACAGTCACTGCCTCTGCACTGCGGGGAGGAAAAACTGTGAGAATAAAAACTGAGGCCAAAAACTGCCTAGAGCCTAAACACCAGCAATGATTTCACTTTTCTAGTTAGGATAGAAAGGAAGGTAGGAAGTCCCATTATGTGCAGGGAAGGAACAAAGTCCTTGAGGCTCATTGGTGAAGTCTATTAATTGAAAAGTACTTATTTAACACAAGGGTAGTAAGTGGAATGATGGCATCTCTTCAAATGAATTCATAAATTAAAAGGTATTTTACATTTTTAAGGGAATATTTTTGTTTGCTCATAAATAAATTAAGAAAACCGAAAACCTCTGAGTAAGACGTTGTAATTGGATTCACAGGTTATCACTGAATGCTTATATTAAATGAAGAAAATAACAGCTACAAAGGTTTTGAGCCTAAACTGAAAACAGTAGCAAGTCAGTCTCAAAGTCACTTTAGTTCTTGGCAACTCTTCTAAGCACACATTGACTGATCTCTGCCCACATGAAAGAAGAAACTATACTTAGTGCCTTCAATAAATTAAAGATTTGGATATTCCAAGAAGGTGCAGAGAATATGGGAGAAATGTAGATTCTTAAAAAATGCCAGGTATTTCCTTTTGCACAGTTACTGTGCTCCACACAGTGAATGCTGGATGAAAGGCTCACTGTATATGGAAGTCAGACTAGGAGAGCCCTTCTGGCCTTTAAATTGAGACATACCTTAACTACATTTTAGGGGACTCAGGAGCATAGGCATCTGGACAAAACAAGTTTTGTAAGAGTATTTTTTTGCATTGTAGTTTTGTATTTAATAAGACTTCATACTTACCTTTACTGTAAATTATTATCTGTATCAAAGTACCAGGCTGTTTCCTACCTGCTTCTAGTTGCTTGTTACTTCATATTCTTCATATTCTTCCTTCATATTCTTTTCTCCAATTGCTTGTCCTTTTCCATTGTAGTGTCCCCAGACATGCTTTCAGTCTCTACTTGCATGTCACAGTTCATTTTGTTTCCTGTTTCTTTTCACCATCACAATAAAATAGATACATATCATGTGGCATTTTTCTGCTCTGCCTGCACTACTAAACTTATTTTGTAGTTGAAAAATTGGCACAGGCAATAAATAATTTCCTGGTTTATTTGTGCACCTTTAATGTGTCTCTGCTAAAACCAGAAAAGAGATCACCTGCCTTGCTGGACAAATCCCTAATTTGAATGTTTTTCTTCTCTTTTACGAAACTGAAAGAACTTTATTACTATTTTAAATATAGCATACTCCTGCAGAAGTAAACATACCACTTCTTCAGTGAGAGATCTGAAGAACAGTTTTGGGAGGCCTTCCTGTCATCCCCCATGGCCAGGCAGAGCTGTCAGATTCTCTGCCAGGGTTCACGTTAGTGAGAACACTGGCACCACTGCCCTGAAATGGAAGTTCTTTTACAAAACTACACTCCTAAATCCACTCCCACCCTTTTCAGACAACAGCTTGGTTTCATTTCTGTGGTTTTCTTGTCTGCACTAACTTCTCACGCCATGCCCCAAATTGGACATCAACCTGGCTTCCATTGCATTCTCTACAGAGGATGCAGAAACACAGAAGTGTCTCAGAGAACCCACTGATCACACTGTGATTTATTAAGAAATAATGAAGAAACTA